GTTGTTCTCTAGAACAAAACATTAATTAGAAAGTTGTTTATATGACATGTTTTTATGTTAAGTATGTGTCCAACGTTAATTATAATTCTAATAAAAAAAATTCAAGATTATAACGTCTGAATTTTAACGTCCTTTTCATTCTAACGTAATTATCTTATTGTTCATGCGCAGTAATGAGATTCCAAGTGTTAAATTATTGGTAATGTAAGTAGAGTGTATAAGAATATTGAAATAATTGTTAATTAATCGATAGAAGTGTTAATTATTGTTTAAAAGAGCGAAATATATTCTCGAAGTACCTTCGTCTTCGAAATACACTTAAAGACTAAGCTGTTGTTCTCTGCAAAAATTTATCTTTAGAAAGGTATGATATTTSCTTTCAATTGCAGACTTGTTTGAAATCGACATATTGTGAGATAGTAGAAACCTGCATTAAAAAATAAAATATGCATTATACCAAAAATAATTTTATTCTGAAATTAAATAAAATAAATATTACAATAAAAGATTTCTTGTTTTATCGGTGTAATGCCTGTAAYATTATAAAAGTTATGAAAAAACATTATAAGGCAATTAGTTTCTGGAGATGAAATGGATAGAAGGAGCCAAGGAAAGGAATAAAAATATGTCCATTGAAAAATTACAGAAACTAATTACGATTATAATGTTTATGGTAAGCGGTCTTTGGCTGGATTTTACTTGCAATGGAATGTGTATCATATAAAAATATGATAAACATTACATGGAAAGTAATATCCATTGCCCAGGTCTAACCACGAGGAGGTAACCGCTTCTGAAGACCCAAGAGGGATGTGGATCCTAAAGATGCCACCATCCGAATATAATTTAAAGGAATGAACCTAACTCTTAGGCCCCACCATAAGAGTACCATCCGAAAAATCGTTAAAATTATTATCGAAAATACCAGAGAAAAATTTCAATATTAAAAAATACTAAATGATTAAACAAGGAGTATAACTTGAAAAGAAATTCAATAGAATCATCGATGTTACTTAAAACTAATACATCCTAGAATATATACATATATACATAATTTTCAATCTAGATAAAATAAAGTACAATAATTAAAAAGAGTATACAATTATGAGTTGTTGCATGGAACCTATAAATAAAGAAAATACATTAAAAATAATTATTACACATGTGCCATGCTACAAAGAGAATAATACAAAGATACAAATTTTCATTTTATTTAAACAAATAATTATTTTATACTATCCTTTATTACCAAATCCATTTCTTACTCTTTTATGGTCCACCTTTGGTCCTCCTTTGGTCTTCCTTTGGTCCACCTGTCGTCGTCTCTTCACCATAGTCCAACTTGCAACAGAAAACAAATTGATAAAAAAGAGTTAAAAAATAGAAGGGATAGGAGAAAAGTGGGGATGGGTATAACTTTTAAAGCGGAACTTTTCACGATTTTTTTTTTAAGTGGTTTCCCCCCAATTGGACTAGTCCACTGACTCTAAATTTAGGAGAAACCTACACTAAATGTTCAGTCCAACACCGTATACTACTGCGAACTTACGGAAATGAATCCTTGGGTCCGTCTAACAATTAGCGGAAGATGTTTTCCCTTACAATGAAGCTTCAGTTTCCCATGCTACATGCATATCTATCTATGCATATCAAAAAGCCGAAAAAGAAAAAAAAGGAAAAAAAGAAAAAAAGGACGGTAGCTCCAGCTTAAAAGTCAAATGAACATGATTGTATCCTTGGGAGTAAGATAGAATCATGGCTCGCGTGGGCAGGGTCGCATCCCTGAAGTAAATTCTTTATTTGTAAATGGTACCACCCTTTACGAACAAAAAATTTACCCGCTACCCATTAAACCACTTCTGAAACAAAAATTTTTAATCAATATTAATACAATTTTATTTGCAATGTAAGTAATTGGAGTATATTATATTACCTTCCGATCTAGGAACGCAATCAAGTTGAAGACAGTTATCTGATAAACTGAAAAAATTAATTCATATTAAAATTATTTTCTATTCACAGTAAGTTAATGTGTATGTAACGATTAAACCAATGTATATGCGTTGAAACAATCTTAAAAATAATTAAAGTATATGAAAATAATGAAATAATTGTTAAATAATCGATAGAAGTATCGATTATTATTTAAAAGTACGGAATATATTTACGGAGTACCTTCCTCTTCGAAATGCACTAATAGACTGAGCAGTTGTTCACTATAACAAAACATTAATTAGAAAGTTGTTTATATGACATGTTTTTATGTTGAGCATRTGTCCAACRGTAATAATAATTCTAATAAAGAAAATTCWARATTAWAACGTACAGATTTTATTGTTTTATTCATTCTAATGTAATTAATTTATTGTTCATGCGCAGTAATGACTACGAGTGTAAATTATGCTGTAATATAAGTAGAGTGTATAAGAGTAATAAAATAATTGTTAATTAATCGATAGAAGTATCGATAATTATTGAAAAGTACGAAATATATTTTCGGAGTACCTTCCTCTTCGAAATTCACTTAAAGACTGAGCCATTGTTCTCTATAACAAAACATGAGTTAGAAAGTTGTATATGTTTTTGTTTTTTATGTCGAGCATGTGTCCAACGGTACTTATAATTCTAATAAAGAAAATTCAATATTATAACGTACAGATTTTATTATTTTATTTATTCTAAAGTAAGTATTTTATTGTTCATGCGCAGTGATGACTTCGAGTGTTAAATTATGCTGTAATATAAGTAGAGTGTATAAGAGTAATAAAATAATTGTTAATTAATCGATAGAAGTATCGATWATTATTTAAAAGTACGGAATATATTTTCGGAGTACCTTCCTCTTCGAAATGCACTAATAGACTGAGCCGTTGTTCTCTAGAACAAAACATTGATTAGAAAGTTGTTTATATGACTTCATATGTGTTGATCATGTGTGCAACAGTAATTAAAATTCTAATAAAGAAAATTCAAGATTATAACGTTCAGATTTGAACATTCATTTCATTCTAATTTAATTAATTTATTGTTCATGAACAGTGATGACATCGAGTGTTAAATCATGCTGTAATATAAGAAGAGTGTATTAGAATATTAAAATAATTGTTAATTATTGTATATAAGTATCGATTATTGTTTAAAAGTACGGAATACATTTTCGGAGTTCCTTCCTCCTCGAAATACACTTATAGACTGACCCATTGTTCTCTAAAACAAAACATTTGATTAGAAAGTTGTTTATGATTTTTCTTATGTTGAT